CCTGTAGTCCCAGGTACTCAGGAGGCTGAGGCAGGAGAATCGCTTGAACCCAGAGGCAGAGCTTGCAGTGAGTCGAGATCGCGCCTCTGAGCTCCAGCCTGGGCGACAGAGAGAGACTCTGTCTCAAAAAAAAAAAAGGAAAAAAAAGAAAAAAACTGCTATTTTCACCCACCTGCTCAGATGGGTCTCTGCCCAGGGCTGGGGAGTGCAGAACATTGGCAAAGACGACGGGCGCAGGAGCTGCTCCCCGCCTTGATAGCTCCTCAGGGGTTGCAGTGGTCACCTGGCTGTCCCTCTAGCATACCAGGCCCCTTTCCATCCCAGGCCCTTTGCATTTGCTGTTCCCTCTGCCTAGAATGCTTTCCCCAGCTCCTCACGTGCGAGACAACGTCTCAAGATTCAAGTCCCTGTCCAAAAGTCACCTCCCGGGAGAGGCTGTCCCTCCCCAAGTACCACATCCAGCCTCTCTCCATACATCACCCACTGCTCTCCTGGCCCCACTGCCACCTGCCACCATGCTGACCTGCAGTGTCACCTGTCCTCCCATGGGAGCACACAGGCACCCTGTGGTAGGACCTTGGCCATCTCTTTTGGTGCCGCCTCCCCAGCACCTGTCACGGTGTCTGGCGTAGTAGGTGCAAATAACTGCTTGCTGAATGAATGAATGAGTACATGCCGCACTTCCTTGACAAGGCACTCACCCACACTCTAAATACATCATTAATTCAGAAAATGTTTATTTAATGCCCCTGCCCCTTCTGCTGGAAGGAGAGTGAGGGGAGGGCCTCTGTTGTATTCACTTGCCACAGGCCCAGTCCCTGCTAGCGCCCGGTGTGAAGTTGGGCCCCCACTACATGCCGAGTCAGAAGCCGCATTCTGTGCTCTCGGGGTCTCCATGCCATCCAGGGGCACCTTTTCTGGGGTTTCCTTCCCCGTGTTGTAAACACAGCCCCACATCCATTTATCTGTGGAGGCCATATTAGCTGAAGGTCTCCTCCCTCTGCCGTTCACTGATTTAACAAACTGTGGACTCCAACTGTGCTGGCACTGTGCTAGGGATATGGTAGTGACAAAGACAGATGTGACTCCTGCCCTCGGGCCGTCTAGCAGGAGACAGGCAGCTAACAAGTAAACAGCAATGTCATTACAAACCATGATACGTGCTCTGAAAGAAGTAGTCCCACTGTCATTGTGGTGGAGAACAGTGGTGCAAGGCCATGCTCGGTGACACACACGGACTGTGGTCTCTGACGGGGCTCGGTGACACACAGGGACTGTGGTCTCTGACAGAACTCAGTGACACACGGGGACTGTGGTCTCTGACGGGGCT